GCACTGCGCTTCCTAGTGCACTGCGCTTCCTAGTGCACTGCGCTTCCTAGTGCACTGCGCTTCCTAGTGCACTGCGCTTCCTAGTGCACTGCGCTTCCTAGTGCACTGCGCTTCCTAGTACCCCACACAACGGCGCACATAGGCGGTGCCGCTTCCCAGACGCGGGAGCCGACTTCCAGGCGGAGTCCTCGGTGTCGCCCACCCCAGGGTTCCTCACGCGCTCCAGCCCGCACCCGTCCCCCCGCGCGGCCAGCTGCAGGCCCGGGTCCCACGTCCCAGGCCCACAGGATTTACAAGCGCAAGGATTCCACCAGCCAGTCCTCCGCTGACTCCATGGCAACGCCGCTTCCGCTACCCCACTTCCGCCTCTGAGAACCTTCCCGGGCAGGCGCGAACCTCTCGCGAGAAGTGGGCGCGGCCGGCTCGGGCTGGGGGCGTGGCTCACGCCAGCGGGGCGGGGCCGAGAGGTGTCCGACCGCCGGCACCAGCGCGCGGTGCCCTTGACCGGCTGGGTCCGGGGTTCTCCCGGCAAAAGCTCCGGGGAAAATGACGTAAAATCCGGGGTTCCCAGGATGTCAGTTCCGGGCGGGGCCTCAGGGACCTAATACCCGCCCGTTTTACGACAGGATATTTGCAGAGCAAAGGGTCAAGGCCAGAGAAAATACAGGATGCCCGGTTAAATTCGAATTTTAGATAAACAAGTTTTTTTTTCTTATAAGTATGTCCATGCAGTCTTTAGGACATCTCATACGAAAAAACTATTGATTATTTAAATGAAATCAGAATTTAACTGGGTGTCCTCTATTTTTATTTGGTACCTCTGGCAACTCTACCAAAGGCCAGAGAAGAGAGTAAGCAGACAGCGAGGGCTGGATCCTAGCTCGGCTCACTCTCTTGCATGCTCTGAGCACTCCCCTCGAAGCTTGGCGTGGGAATGAAATGAAATGCGGTGAGCAAAACCCCATCTTGCAGTGTAGGCAGCTCCCTTCTACGGGAGAGGAAACATGAGACTTGCCTGTGCCAGCAGGTGGCAGAGGTGAGTAAGAACCCAGCGCCTGGCACAGGACCAGGCATCTATAACAGGCCCTGAGTACCTGCTTGCTGAATGAGCGACTGACTTCGAAGTCCTCAGGAGGCTGGTGTCGTGAAGTTTTCTTGGCTTTTTGGAGCCAGCTCCATCTTACTGAGCATCCTGTCCTCCAGTCTTTCGGCCCCCCTTTCCCTCCCATGCCCTCAAACATAGCTGGAAGGAGAGGATCAGACATGCTTCATAAAGAGCTGGGTTTTATTCACAACTTCAACAGGGAAGCAAGAAATACAGCAGGGACATAATTTGTGTCTGCATTGGCAATATTCCTGGCGACACAACCAGAAATCACACTAATGGAGTCACAGAGATTTGAGGCCAGGTTTTACGTCCAGATGGGGCCACTGCCAGGGTCCCGTTCAGCTCCTCCCCTGGGAGGGCACGGTCCAAGCCACGACGTTGTATCTTCCTCATTAATGGTGTCACTTCTGCACCACTTGCACCAGCAGCCTCCTGTACCGAAGGGGAACACACAGAAGAACTGACCTGGGTCGAGGGGGGAAATGACAGGGGCATCCTGCCATTCCTAAGTGCTAGGCGTCCACAGAGGCAGGCAGGGGCAGGCTCTTAGCCTAGGCAGCCTCCCCCTAGCACCTTTCTCCCAGAAGAAGAGGTGGGAGGGGTCGGGGTGGTGGTTTTCCCAGGGTGACAGCCCAACCTCAGAGTGATCATGACAGTCAAGGAGATCACAGAAGTGAAGTCCATGTGCGTGCCTGGCCCTGGGCCAGTGTCAACGTTTTCCCTCCCCCGCCCTCAGCTCTGCCCCAGACCTCACTTCTGAAGCCCCATCCTCTAGTGCTAGGTACTGCTTCCTCTGAGACTTGCTAGTTGGTCTGCATGCTTTAGGCCTTCAAGACCAGCAGCCCCAGCCAGAGGTGACATCATCTCCATCCAGACTCAGCCAGCCCAAGCTCCTGGCCCTTACATCTGAGGTCCCCAGGGGCTGGCAATTCTGTGCATGAGGAGGACCAGGCATGCTGACTGGGGCTGGAGTTAGACCTTCTCTAGGGAATGCCCCCTCCCTTCCTTCAAAAAGTGTGCACTATATGCTGGGCACAGTGGAGGTATGAAGGTGAGTCTGTAACAGGTGCTGCTGATAGCTCCTGTTTACGAAGTGCTTTCTATGTGCCAGGCGTCATGCTGAGCATGGGACACAAACGGTCTTGTTTAATATGAGATGGGCGCTATCAATCCCATTTTATAAATGAGGGAGATGAGGCTTAGAGGGGTTAAGTGACATTTTTAAGGTCACACAGCTACTAGTTAGGTTAGGAGCCTAGCACGCTGGCCCCAGAACCCACATTCTACCACATTACACTGCCTTCTGCCCACAGTAACAGAGTACCGGGAAGGTTGTGTGGGGTGGGGGCCGCCTCAGGAGCAGGGAATGAAGAGCTGCCCTTCTACCAGGCCAGAGACCAAAGCTGGCTTGGCTCTACTTTGGGGCCTTGGATCTCATAGGTCAGTGGTTTATGACCAAAGGTAATCTGGCTCCCTCCCCCGATCCCCTCACAAGAAGGCCTCCGGCAATGTCTGGAGGCATGTTTTTCTGTTGCCACAACTGGGCAGGGGGAGGATGCTCCAGTGGATAGAGACAAGGGATACTACAAACTTCCTACAATGCACAGGACAGCCCCCACAACAAAGAATTACGCAGCCCAGGATGTCAAGAGTCCTGAGGTTGAGAAACCCTGCACTGAGGGTCACTGAGGCAGACGAGTGACTGGGAAGAGCACTGGTCAAGGCGAACAAGGTCTGGACTCCGTCTTGGATGCTGACTCTCCTCCTCTCTGGGCCTCAGGGTCCCAACTGTAGCCGTAAGTATCCCCGAGGCACGGCAAATGTGGGCAGCTGGGGTGGGGCAGGCCTGGGGGTGGGGGGCACGTCCTGCTGCAAGAGGTTGGCTAATCCTAGGCTGTGACTTTAGACTGAGGACTCGGTGAGGGGGAACTTCTTCCCTACTGGGAAGGTCAGCTTCCTTTCTTCAAAGTCTTCTCCCTTTGAACTCTGGATCATGGGGAGAGCCTGGAATCCCTGGCTTTCTGGGGCCCATCATACCTTGGGGAGAAGTCACACCCTAAGCCCCATGCTGGAACCAGGAGCAGCTGGGTCTCTCCTGGTCCTGAGGTGGGAGCCTGGCTCACCTGGGGGTGAGGTGCTGGGCTGCTAAGGCTCACGCCCAGAACTTTCTTTAGCAGGAGGATCCTGGGCAGATCGTGACTCAGCTGCCGTCTCTGGTCCCTCAGGGAGATGTGGGGAGCTGTTCCCAAGAGGAATGGGCTGGGGGTTTCCAGACTCTTCTTGCCCATGAAGTGACCTAGAAAGGAGGTGCCAAGGCACAAGGAAGGTGGGGAGAGAGGATCCCATCTCAGTGGGAAAGTTCCCCACCTCTCCCAACTTTCAGTCTCATGGCAGGAAGACCCACGGGTAACCTTCCTCCTCCCTCTCCTCCTCACCAAGGAGCCACAAGCACCCCGGGGTTGGTAGCAAAGCCAACCTCCGCTTTTCCCGAACAGGAGAGGATGGCACAGCTGGAAGGAGGGAAACTCTGCCAGCTGTGCTGCCTGCTTTCCAGGGGCCGGGCGAGGGCAAGGAGGAAAGTGGAGAAGGAAGAAGTGTCTGCCAGGTGCAGGGGCAGAGAAGACACACCAGAGGACACAAGAGGATTCAGCAGACTCTTGCCTAAGGCCAGGGGCACCGGCTGGCAGGCAGATCTAGGATCCAGCCCCAGTTCTGCTTTAACTGGCTGAGCGATCTCAGCCAAGTCACTGAACTGTCTGGGTCTCAAGTTTTCCATCTATTAAATTAGACGGGTTCCAGGGTCCTCATCCGCGCAGACACCAGAGTCCGTGGCTGAGGAACGGCCTGAGAAGGGAAATGGGATCAGAGCACGGAGAAGGGCGCTTGCGCGGGTCCCGAAGACTTACCGGTGGCCCAGAGGTTGCCCCGCGGGTGCACTCGGATCTTACTGGCCCTGCTGCGGGGCTCCGGAGAATCCCAGCTGAGCGGCGCGGCGCCCGCAGCGAGCAGAGCGAAGAGCAGGAGGCCGCCTAGCAGCCGAGCGCCCCCCGCCCGCAGGGTCATGGCTGTGCCCTCGCCGAGCCTCCGCCCCGGCGCGCTTCGCAGCCACTACGGCCGGGGCCCCAGCCTTCCCTCTTTTTAAACCCGCGCTCCTGGGGGGGCGGAGCCTGCTCCGAGGAACCCGCCCCTGGCGCGCTCGCGGCCGCTCCGCCCCCGCAAGATGCGAGGCGCCGCGCCCGTCGCTTCGGCCACCGCCTGGGTACCGCGTCCGCAGGGCGGGCGCCCAAGCCCGCTATCTTCAGGCAGAGGACCCCCCACTACGGGGAGGGGGGGGCGGGGCGAAGCCCGTTCCCCTGGCCGCCCCCTCGCCGCTCCCACTGGCTTTCGGGCCACGAGTGGTTACTTCTTGGAGTCTCTCATTTATAAGGGTAGAAGTGGGGGCGAGGACACTGGTGCTGCAGTGCCCAGCAAAGTCCCGGGCACCAGGCGAGCCATAAAATGCCTGCCAGCCCTTCCCTCTTCGGGAATACGACCCGTGTTCACCCTACTCTCGGCCCTCTCACCACCAGCTCACCAGAGGTGATGTCGAAACCACAGCAGGTGCTGGGGTGGGCAATGCAGAACAATGGATGGGGGGATAGTGAACACCCCTCGCCCCAGGAACGGACGCTCTACTTGGGGGGCGACCAGCCTATCACTTCGGCCGAAAGCGGATCTGTGGGTCAGGGAAGTAGAAAGAGCACCAGACCAAGAGTTCATATGCAAACAGTGTGACCTCGTTGAAGCTCACTTTCTTCGGCTGTAAAATAGTAATAACCACGTTGCCCCGTTTTTAATAATTTTACATTTCTTAGCACAGTCACGTTGTGGCAGGAAGCAGCAATCCTGCAGCCGGCCCTTTCACAGCCAGCACTCTCCTCCTCCCAAGTCCACACCTGTCTTGGAAAGAACTTTTGGGTCAGTGGCATCACTTAATGAGTAAGACACTGTGCTCCAGAATAATACTTTTATTTTTGCTTAAAGGTTCACTAAACACCAATGTTCGGGAGCATCAAGGTAGGCACAGTAGGGAGACAGAGGGTAATTCCCAGCTGCCAAGGGAGTTTACCGTCTCATTGGAGAAACAGAGCACCAGAGGAGTGAATGATGGGGGAGCGTGAGTGCAGACCAACCCGGGGTTCTGGGCTCTTCCCTGAAACACTGCACAGTGTGGCTGTGACAGAACCTATGCCCCAGTGTGGCTCAGTAATGCTGCTTCATATTATTAATCTCACACGTATCCAGCGCAGCACGGGCTGCCAACTCTATGGA